TTACTCTATAATTTAAGAAAATGTCTGCTTAATCATATAACATCAAAACAACATGTCATGGTTTTCCTTCCACTGTCACCACCTATACCAGTGGTTTCCAACTTTTTTTTGACCAGGGACCACTCTCCAACATTAGTACCAAAAGGGTTACAAATCAGCTTTTGGTCAACTTTAGATTTAGTTTGGTTATTTGGGATGCTGATTCATAAAATTGCATTGGATGGATCACATCAGCTCTAGGTCTTAATACAGAATATATGGCATCCAGTAATTGCTATCTCCTCGCCCACAGAAAACCATATTTAATAATCTAGAGATGATGTGGTCTATCCAATGTAATGCTCTGAATCAGCACCCCAAATAACCCCAGGAACAGGCCTAAAAACGAAGACACCAAGGTGCTCCCACTTCCAGGCACCATGAGGAACAGCTCCGCTCAGGAGGAGGGAGGAGGAGGAATCAGGAGGCTTGTTGTCGTACCTTTCATGGGTAGTCAGACTCTCCTCTCCCGATATCCCCGCTGCTCAGCACTATAACAGGGTTTCATGAGACCAGTCACTCTTGTTTCAACGGTGTCGTAACAGTGAGACAACGGACTATATTTTAGTTCTTGAGGACCACAGATTGGGAACCACTGAACTATACTATGAACTTGTTAATGACTATTTATCATATCAGGAGCAAACTCATATGACTGATCTTCATGAAACGGAATACAGTCAGCCAGTAGTATTCACGGAAAAATTATTTCACAGATATCAAATTCTGTGGATGCTTAAGTCCCAAACTGATAGCCATTGGCAAAGGGGTCACCTGCTTGCCTTGTGGGTCATCCACCAAAGGAAGAGAATCTAGGGTGGTCCTCTGGTCTCTGACAACCCTCAGCACACTTAAGGCTGCTGGAGTCCTTTCCTGAGAGTTCTTCCCTCTTGTGCTTCCCCCACATTTCTTCAGCTTCTTTGCACTTAACAGAGAAGCACCACAGAACAATTCCACCATGCTCCTCTTGCAAGGCCATCAGGTTGGGTGGGAGAGAAATGAGACCTCCACTTGAATTTTTTCAAAAACTGTTTTTATCCATGGTTGGTATAATCCCAGGATGTGGAGCCCACAGATACAGAGGGTCAGCTGTATACTGTAATCTTTAACTTCAGAGGAAGAAAGGGATAGCAAATATTTATTACTGCTTATAGCATCATTATCATCTGTTCCTTATTGATTGGCTATTTGTAGCTTAAGTAGAAAATTTCTACTGCATTCTGGACAGATACCTCAAAATGCGGCATTTAATATTAATCTAAATTTTCTTCCCTACTAATGCAATTTTACTAAGAAATTCATTTTGCAAATTGCAGATGTTCTCAATCTTATACAGATGTTTAATGGTATTTTAAATCATGAATATGTTAATTATTGTACAATTAAAACATTAATCAAAATTTTGGTTTCAAATGCAATAGATCCTGTGAAAATGACTGTCCTTTATTGAGAGCTGGTTCTGGAAGATTTGTTTTGTTTTATTTTAAATCTTGCCGTGTGACCAGTCCTGACACTCAAAACAGTTTGCAGCAATTAAATCAGTGACAGATCAAAGTTCACATCATTCAAAATGTTCAGTAAAATTTAAAAGAAATTAAAAGCATCCCCATTTAAAAAGTAAACAATATAAACAATATAGTACATCATTAAAAGCTCTTCTCCCATGTACAATCAATTCTCAGAGGCCTTCTGGGGAGGCAAGCTTCACATGCCTCTAGAAGGGCAGCAAAAATGTGTCTCTCTGGCCCCTTACGAAGAAGTTCCAGAGTCTGGGAACAAGAACACTATCTCCTATGTTCCAATCAAATTTACCTATGAGAGAAGTAGCCAGAAAGGAAGGGCCTTCTAAGATTCATAGAAATGTAGACCTGAATCATATACAACAGTGATGCCCATCCTTTGGTGCTCCAAGTGTTTTGGACTTCTGCTCCCAGAATTCTTGAGCATTGAACAATTCTGGGAGTTGGAATCCCAAACACCTAGAGGACCAAAGTTTGGACACCACTAATATAGGGCTTTATAGATCATAATCAGCATTTGGGATTGTGCCCAGAAAAAAAAATCAGCAGCTGATGAAACTATTGCAGCAACTGTGTTGCATGGCAACTATTATTAAAATAGTCTGCAGCCTTTTATTATAGCTGCTTTCTGAGACCTAATTTCTACCCATCTTTTTAAAAAACACATTATTCTTGTTGTAGACAGACAGTACCCTCAAAGATGCAGCAACTCTCCAGATAAATAATGGAAGCACACAACCTTCCCTCTTCTCTGGAGGAGCAGGATAGGTCCTTGAAGGACAACTCCCCTAACAGCAACTTTGTCTCCACAGGTGTTTAGCTTTTAATTGCCAATTGTGGCAATAGCTAGTGGAGTGAAAGACACTTACTGGCAGAAACTGTTGATTTGCGACTTGTAAGCCTGGATATTCAAGGAGGTACAATATAGCAAAATAGGCCTACAGGTAGAATTATTAGCCCAAGGAATAGCAGCATCTACAAAAGAACTTATCTTTCATTCCTTTATAGATTTTTCAGGGTAGATGACATGTGGCTTTACCTCATTTTTCTGTCTAAAGTTCCAAAAGAAATGGAGGAGATCATGATTAAGAATCCTAACCCAATAATGGAATGGATGAAGGAAAACAAGCTGAAAACTAACAGTGCCATGACAGAAATCCATAAGAGTACAAGGTTAGCAATTGTAGATAATGGTGTAAAACCAATTCCAGAACATGCTTAGCCTGGGAGTATATCTGGTCCCAAAAGAAGATGAGGCAGTAGCAAGAATGTTTTTCATTATTCAAGTTTGTTTCACCAGTTGTATTCTTATGTATAGGGAAGACCATGCCTCGCTTATCTGCACTTCCATCAAACTATGCAACTACTGTGTACTTTGTGCAGGGATATCTCCAAAAACATTTGGGAAGCTTCAACCGGGTGGGTAAAATCTATCCACCCAGATGCTAAAAAAATACAAATTAACTGGGTGTCTATATGGTTTACGTCAAATTCAAAGGATTATATTAGGAATAGTCAAAGCCCACAAGCATTTGAGACCCACTTATATATAATGGGTTACCTTTACTATTTCATTCTGCCAACATGCTGAAATCTGTTTCAGATATCCTGCTCATGATTCCAGTATTTAAAGATCAGTTACACTGTTGGTCAGCACACTATTATAGCTCCTCAACTCTATCAACCCTCCCAATGAATGGCTCCACTATTTAACTACTGAAGAAGGTTTCATAAACATTTTAAAGCCACTTTTGATGAGTATACAAGAGGCACAACTTCTACAAAATAAAATCATCTTCCTTTCATCCAGTAAACCATTTACTGCTTTATTTTACTAGTTTCATAATGCATTTATTATTTATTTATTTATTTCATTTCTACCCCTCCCCCCCTTCTCCCACAAGGGACTCAGGGCGGCTTTACATAGGCATCATTGATGCTGTCAACATATGCATTCAATTAAAAACAGTAAAGCTTGATTGAAACATTATAAAAATCATCAAAAACGTCATGTAACATTCAACCTACACGCCGCTAAAACCAAGATCTAGCCAAACAAATCCAATGTCATAATGTCTTAATGTCCTTTCTAGCCAAACAAATCCAATGTCATAATGTCCTTTCCAAGGTGCCATTGTCCTCTGGTCAATGCCTCTAGTCGAATGCCTGGTCCCACAGCCAGGTCTTCAGTTGTCTCCTGAAGGACAGGGGGGAGGTGGCCAGCCTGAAGTCCTTAGGGAAGGAGTTCCATAGACGGGGGGGAGACTGCTGAGAAGACCCTGTCTCTCGTCCCCACCAACCGCGTTTGCAAGAGTGGCGGTATTGAGAGCAGGGTCTCTCCTGACGATCTTAAGCTGAGAGAAGATTCATAGCAGGAGATACGTTCAGACAGGTAAACTGGGCCAGAACCGTTTAGGGCTTTAAAGGTTAAAAACAGCACTTTGAATTGTGCCCAGAAGCTAATCAGCAGCCAGTGAAGCTGGCGCAACAAAGGAGTGGTTCATAACACACAACTAGAAGTCATTCTCTCATTCCTGTCCATTTAAAAATATAAATTGGTTCCAATTTGCCATATGAAACAAGTCTACATTTCGTCCTTACATTATGGAGGATTCAACAAGTGCTAAATATACAGATTTATAGGTTCACAATCCAGAATTTGTGATTGCTGAATGAACCAGCAGCTCAAGATTTTATTTCAAGGTTCACTGCTCTTGAAGACCTGATGAATCATGCAAAGGTTACCATTTTCTATAGAGGGCAGAGAATGATATAATGCTAAATGTCTATGTTTCTTTAACAGTTTGTTAATGCTTATGAAAAGCAATTTACTTTACAGTAAAACTCCTCCTACTCATTTCTTCGTATCTATTGCTGTCACGCTATCTCAAGAGTGCTAAGTCATGAAAATGTTTAGTTTACAACTTAAGCTGAAACTCTTTCCTATACAAATATTTGTTCACATGAATCACTCAACAAAACAAATTCTTAATCTCATATATACCAACTATCTTCTGTAATTGCTGACAATTTGAAAGAAGAAAAACAGCTACAGACGCTAACCTTAAAAGCAAGGAAAGATCAGAAAAAACTCAATTTTCCATCTGTGTTCATATCTCATACTTTACACATATAGCTAATATAAAGTTTGCTCTTTTTGCTGACATTTGAGTGTTTTTCCAACCTCTCCCTTCTTTCCCAGTATGACCGGGGAGTCGACAGTCTCTATTTTGTGATCATTATCTTTTGACTTTACTCAGTGCAAGGTGTCCTAAACCTAAACAAACCTCAAATAATTAGAACCACCAACTAGGATAAAACAAAAGAGGGAAAATGGTGGAAACAGGAGAAATAAAAAACAGGAAATGGCTACGATGCACTAAATGCATCTACTCAACAGCAAATAGCCATACTTATAGAGTTTGAACAGTGACCACTTACCTAGCATGCGAATGTATAGTGCAGTTTGATCAGAACTGTCATAGGAAATTGCACCACGTCTCTGAAAATAAAAAATAAAATATTTTATTCTTACTTTAAATTATTCTTCAATTCTGTTATCTAAAACACTTTGACCATTATAAAAGCCTGTTACAACTAAGAATGCATTTTCTAAAGTCACTGCCTTTTAAAATATTTTCTTCATATGGGAATGCTTCAACAAGGAAATAAATTAACTATGTAGTTTTCCTCAATTTAGAAAAGCTTTTCACTTGTGATTTCTCAGCTCAAAGACAAACAACAAATTTCAAGATGGAACAGACAAATATGATTAAGGGTTGGGTTGTGTTAATGATGCGAGTCATTTCACGTGCATTTTCTCCCCTGTCCCAGACCTAACCAAGGTTAAAAGCTGTATCAGTATTTATCATCATCACAGGCTATCACTCACAGCTATGATTGCCTTCCAAGTGTAGGGTATAGGAGAAGGGTCCATAGATGGCTGTAGAGATCTATTCTTGATCCGCATGTTCTTTATTAGTAAGGGCATCCATTTACAGATAGAAGATGGTCCCGACCAGGGACCATCTTCCTCTTGACATATCTCTCTCCCTAAGTATAAAGTTTAGGGCAGGACCAGGTAAATGACCGTGAGGGGCCATGTCCTTAGTTTGGGAACTCCTGCTTTAAGGGATTCTCAAGCCCATTCCCAACTCCCTAAGGTTTAGATTAACTTTTGTGTTTAGATTTTCAGTAACATGAATTCTTCAATAGATGCCTCAGACAAATGTAATCATTTATTGTGAAAGAAGGAAAAAAGACAGACATACTTGTATGTATTTTGGAAGAAACCTTCAAGTGGTTTATAGAAGACTGAAAATGAGTTTATTTATTCAAGGCTTAACTAATTCATTTCTATTCCACATATGTGTATTGCTAGTTTTGAATCAAACATCTTTGAAATATCCTGAACTGTACAAACCTCTCTGTGTTATTTCCATGTTAATTCTGCCCTGGTACCATTAAAAAAAATTCAGTATTACATCTGCCTCTTTAAGTGAGATATGCTTGTACAGTATATGCACTAGGAGAGATGTGGTGGAAATCTATCACAAGCAAATTGTGAGGATGTTGGTGTCTACTTTATGCAACTGCTTCTTCACAGGGAGATCTGCTTATTCTCAAATTTGTGTGTCTTTTTCACCAAATATAATCATGGGAATTTCAATAATTTTTTGGAATAAGGTCAACGTGTTGTGGGATATTTTCTACTGATTTTTTTCCTATCTATCTGCTTCTGCTATTATATTTTTCTTCTGCCACTTTAACATTCTGCATACTGTTACAATTGATTTTTTTTTTGCTCTATTAGCTACTTTGAGCTAATTTTAAGAAAAAGTTAGTAATAAAATATAAATGTTCATTACTGGTAGGTAGATTCAATCAAGGAAGGCAGGACCATGAACTTGCAATATCAAAGCAAGGGAATTAATGATCATGGATGTTGGAGTTCTCTTATTTATAGGGCCATCATAAGTCAAAGTTGACTTGACAATAACAAACACTGCTAAGTTTAATTCTGACAATGGTTAAAATTTGTCAGCCACTTCAAACCATAGTTTGGTAATGTCTCTACAGATTTAGACTTTAACCAAGATTAAGACCAGAAGACAGAGGTAATTAATGTGCAATTATAGAGGGTTGCTTTGAAATTGTTGGTGTGAAAGTGCCCTATAAATAAAAATATCATAATCTTAACTGCAATTAGGTGAGAAGAGTTACATCTACAGTTCCCTAAGGAGCTATAAACACTGGAAATATAACCCTACTATATTCATAATCCCTACTATATTCATCAAGTGAAAGTATTAACTTGCATTTTAACTACAGAGAAATAGCTATTTGTCAATCAGCCTTCTTTTTCATCTGTTCTCTAGGTAACCATTTTGAACATAAAGAGCCAGTGTATTTGCTTTAAATCTTTTTTCCCTGTGAGCAGATGCAAGAAGAAAAGAGGCAAAACAGGACTAAAGTTTGTGTATACATTTTAATTAATGACTTCTGTTAAAATATTTAAAGAGTTGTATTTGCAAACTATACAACTGTACATATTCAAGAGTCCTTTGTTGGTTCTGAAATCCTGATTTCCAAAAGTGTACATAAAAATATTTCACAGTCAGCAATTTTGAAATCTAATAGACATACACACTCAAGAGATTAATATCATAAAGTATTGTCTAAAGAGGATCAGAACAGCAATTATCTATTATCATGTACCATAAGCAAAGAAGCAGTTACATTATAAAGAATAAAAACAAATACAATGTAATTAAAGACAATAGCTAACTATCAAATGATAAATAACATTGAGTAGTTAATTAGCAACATTTCTTGTAAGAAAACCTGAAAGGAAAAGCTGAGCCTTAATTTAAAAATAAAATTGTATTGATTGGCCCAATATTGTCACAACGATCTTCAAAAAAGTGATTATAAAAAAATACCTTCAAAGTAGAGTAGGTAAAGGTAGTTCCCTGACATTAAGTCCAGTCATGTCTGACTCTGGGGTGTGGTGCTCATCTCCATTTCTAAGCCGAAGAGCCAGCGTTGTCCGTAGACACCTCCAAGGTCATGTGGCTGGCATGAAAGCATGGAGCGCCAGTAGAGTAGAGTAGAGTAGAGTAGTCACCTTGAATTACTTTTAACCTTCTATTCTGGGAAGGTTGTCACCTTATACACTTCGGCCCCTTCCACACAGCTGAATAAAACCCGAATTTTCTGCTTTGAATCGAAATCTATGGCAGTGTGGACTCAGATAACCCAGTTCAAAGCAGATATTGTGGGATTTTCTGCTTTGATACTCTGGCTGTGTGGAATATAGCTACGTGGAAGGGCCCTTTAATATACTCTACAAAAGAGGCACATGGTTGCTTAATTTATTCTGAAGTACTAGGAGTAGTTCAATCAAATGGAAGTATTGAAATGTGTTCCAAATGCTTTGCTGTATATCTCACATCCCAGCTACAACATCCCTTCCACACCTTGCACCATCTTTTTCTATTGCTTCCATCCCTGTGACCTATGTATCTGAGAGAAGTAGAGCTTCCTCCTTACTTTACAATTCATTGCGTTCACTATATTATCAGTCCACTAAGATTTGTGTCTCAGATTGGTGAAATTCTGAACTACCTACTTCATAATCCATCAGAAGAAGCATCATTTCATTCTGTGTTGGGATAATTGATTGCTTCAATCTCTGAGTATAAATGATTCTCACTGCAGTTATCATATACAGTATTGTAATAATTGTCCAAATATTCTTTCTATGTGGTTGTCCAGCATTTCCAACAGATAAACTCTGGTCTCATCATGAATTTAACCTTGACAGTTTCTTCTAGCATTGTATGTATCTGAGTCCAAAACTTCTGGACTCTTCTGCAAGATCATCACGTATGACAAAACATCCCAAAATTATGCAACATTTTCCAACATTTTCAATATTTACTAGAACTGTATTTATACATTTTAGAAAGTCACCCTGGTGTCAATATTAACAATTTTTTGTAAGTCAACTAGTTCCCTTCTAAAGAAATTTATCTTCTAAACAAAGCTTCATGAGGAGACCACCATAATGGCATCTTTGAATGAAATCTATTCTTACAGTTATTTTAAACTCATAGTAGTGATCTCCTCATGAAGTGATTATCAAAACTTTAACATGCTTTTATTTTGTCATACCAAAGAAAGACTATATCTCAAAGTTCAAACCAGCACTAAGCACTAAATAACACAGTGCAACTGCAGATTTGCTAGACCAATGCCAACCACTGACTGTTGGTTCCTGGTCAGTTTCCAGGAAAGAAACATGGAATTGCAGCCAATGGGCACAGAAGAAAAATAATAACTGCCAATGCTCCCCATAAGACAGACTGAAAAGCACTGTTCGTGATAACAGATACTATTTGAAGGATCTGCATAAGGAGGGGAGATGGGGAGAGAGAATGTTAAGAATTTCCATTAACTAACAGGTTCTTTTTATTTCAGAAAACCAGGAGCCTCAAGGAACCATTGTTTACTAGAGCAGCCTAAACAAAGCCAACTAATACAAACTGCTCTTAAAGCTCTGAGTGATTTTATACATATTCAAAACAGCACATTTTTGATACTGCACAGCATTCCTGGACAGTAGTGAACATCCTGCCAATACCATTCCTTGCCCTGTTGTTAGTCAACTCCTAAACTATTAAAATTGGGTGTCATTTCATTCATTCTCTACTATAAACAAACTACAGAGAAATCATTTGTTAGTGTATGTTTATTCAGAAAACTATTTCCTGACAGTTTAATATTCATGTAACTACAATGTTGGCAGGTTAAGGATACTCACCTCAGCATTGTTTCGGCCCAAGCTACCTCTCCGACCGCATCTCTGCCTATGAACCCACCAGGACTTTGAGATCTTCCGGGGAGACCCTGCTCTCGATCCCGCCTGCTTCTCAAGCTCGGCTGGCGGGGACGAGAGATAGGGCCTTCTCGGTGGTGGCTCCTCGGCTGTGGAACGCCCTTCCTAAGGACATTAGACTAGCACCATCTCTAATGGTATTCCGCAAAAAAGTGAAGACCTGGCTGTTTGAGCAGGCGTTCGAATAATTAGTGCAATGATTGGTTAATGAACACTGGAATGGAACAATGGATGACGAATCTGGAACATGTTTTTGATGACGAGACGACAGTGAATGGGTATTGTAGTAACTGTTTATTAATTGTGTAATGTGTTAGGTTGTTAACTGTTTCTATACTGTAGCACTGAATTTTTGCTATTCGTATTTGTTGTGAACCGCTGTGAGTCGCCTTCGGGCTGAGAACAGCGGTATATAAGTAAGGTAAATAAATAAATAAATAATTGCCCCATATTGGAATGGATTTGAACTATTGGAAAATCATTATTATTGCCAACCTCACTGTAATCTAAGAGGAACCATATATATTTTATAGTTTCATAGACCCAAAGCTTTAAGTAAGAAATCAATTGGATTTTGCAAGGCTTAATATGCATCTGCTCTC